CCTAACAATAGTACGGTATAAAGTAGGATCTAATAAAGGTAAACCATCAGAAGAAGAATACTTTGTGTTAACCTCAATCGGAGTATCTACAGTCTTATTATCAGTAAGTCTAGCCCGTTCAAGATTATCTGCAACATATTTCGACCAAGAAAGAAGATAACCTCTAGGTGAGTAGGCTACCTCAATACCCAAGAAATATCGTAGAGAACCCAAATCCTTCATTTCAAACTGTCTAGCTAACTCTGTCTTCAAAACTAAAATACCATCAATATCATCACCAGTAATAATCATGTCATCAACATATAAAGACAGAATAATACAACCTGCATCAGTGCACTTAACAAAAAGAGCAGAATCATGACAACTAGAAGCAAATCCAAGGGAAGAGATCACAATAGAAAATTTCTCAAACCAAGCATGAGGTGTTTGTTTAAGACCATATAACGCTTTCTTGAGCTTGCAAACATACCCAGAATCATGTGAAACACCAGGAGGGGGCGCCATATAAACTTCTTCTTGAAGATCTCCATTCAAGAAGGCATTTTTAACATCAAGTTGAGAGATATGCCACTGATGAACCGAAGCTACTGCAATAAGAGTATGAATAGTAGTCATTTTTGCAACAGGAGCAAATGTCTCCTCATAATCCATACCATACCATACTGTTGAGAGTACCCTTTTGCAACCAACCTAGCTTTGTATCGCTCAATAGATCCATCAGAATGAGACTTGATCTTATACACCGAATGACAACCAACAACACTCTTACCAGGAGGTAGAGGAACCAAATCCCAAGTACCTGTCTTATGCAAAGCAGAAAGTTCCTCATCCATAGCTTGCTGCCAAAGAGGATCAAGAATTGCCTCTTTATAGGAAGAGGGCTCAGAGAGACAATGAATAGAAGCTAAAAAAGAAGCAAAAGATGAAGAATAACAAGAATAAGTAAAATCTAGTAACTTTGTGAACTTACGAATGCGTATGGATTGACGTAAAGGTGGATCCACAATCTCAGACGGAGCTTGAGGGACCATAGGAGAAGAGGGAGCTTCAGGTGTGCCGAGAGTAAAGTGTCAGTACCTACAAAATGATTAGTATGAATTGGTTGAGTATAATGTAAGGGTAATAGGGTAAGAACATGAGAAGCGGTATTTGAAGTACTAGGAACCTGAAATGACAAACTATCAGAATCCTCAGAAAAAAGATCTATACTAATAAGATCAGATCTAGTCAAGTTATGAGTAGTGGATGGAATAGAAAAGAAAGTTATTTGCTCAAGAAAAACAACATGACGAGACACATAAAGTTTCTGAGTTATTGGATCAAAACAATGATACCCCTTTTTACCTTCACCATAACCAAGAAAGACACAAATAGCAGATCGAGAGGACAACTTGCTGTGTTCTACATAAGGACGAAGAACGAAACAAGTACAACCAAAAACTCTAAAGAAAGAATGATCAGGGGCATACCCATGCAACTTTTTGAAAGGAGAAAAACCTGAAATATGAGAAGATGGAATTGTATTAATCAAACCTACAGCAATAAGAACAGCTTCACCCCAAAACACACTAGGAACAGAAGCAGACAACAAGAGAGAACAAGTAGTTTCAACAATGTGCCTATGTTTTCTTTCAACAACACCATTTTGCTTAGGAGTATCTATACACGAAGTTTGGTGAACAGTTCCATCTAAGGCAAGCAATTCACAAAATTTATTAGAAGTGTATTCCCCACCCAAATCAGACCTAAAACATTTGATAACAGTAGAATGTTGAGTTTTGACAAGAGCTCGAAAGGCTGTATATATCTCAAAGAATTCAGAACGACGTTTCATTAAATAAACCCAACAATAACGAGTATGATCATCAATAAAAGAAACATAATAGCAAGACCCTCCTTTTGTGGCAATAGGAGAAGGGCCCCATACATAAGAATGAATCAAATCAAATCAAATCAAATCAAATCAAATCAAATGGAGAAGAAGAAACAGAAATACTTCGATTAAAAGGTAAAGCTGAAAATTTTGCCAGTTTACATCCATTACAATCAGAAATATCACAAGTTTGCAAATTTCCTAAAGCCCCTGTGGATGCCAAAAATCTAAAATGAGAAGACGAAACATGACCTAAACGAGAATGCCATAAATAAAAACTAGAAGAAGAAGGACTCAAACAAAAAGAAGACAAATCAACACTAGTAGAAGCAACAACTGGCACTTCTAACTCATCCAAAATATATAGTACCCCCTTCCTACGGCCTTTCCCAATCAGCTTCCTAGACTGCAAATCTTGTACATAACAAGAAGAAGAGGAAAAGGTGACTAAATTACCAGAATCACATAACTGACCAACAAAAGCAAGATTTAATGTGGGTTTCAGAATATGATAAACATTAGGGAGAGACAAGTGAGGTGTGACAACAGAAACAACACCTGCTAAAGGCATAGCAGTGCCATCAGCAGTCATGACAGGAATAGAAGACGAAGGAGACACAGAAGCAAAAGATGAAGAATTTGGAGACATATGATGTGAAGCACCAGAATCCAAGACCCATACAAAATGTGACATACCTGAAGAACTATGAGGGAACTAACCTACGGAAGAAAAAGCAGACATAACTTATGGCTATAAGGAGAGAAACTTCTGAAATTGCTCAGCCAGAGTACTAGGATCGGTGAAAGGACCTGATGAAACTACTGCTGCAGTATTAGATTGTGGTGGTTTGTAACCCTGAGATGATCTATGAGCATTAGATTGTGACTGGTTGCCAGGCTTCCAAGCTTGAGATTGCTACTATGATTGATTCTGTTGTCTCAACTTAGGACATTGAGCCTTCCAATGACCTTTCTACTTATAGAAACTACACTTGTCAGTGTAAGGCTTATTTTGATTATTAAAGAGTGGCTTAGAAGGCACTGCTAACACAGAAGGATTAGAAGTAGAAAGAATTCCCCTTTCAGAATAAGACTTAAGACATATTTCTTCAGCCAATAACCTACTGACAATTGAGTCAACAAAAAGAAGTGGGAAATGATGCAAAATTGAACCTCTAAGTCCTTCAAAATCACTGCAAAGTGCCTTTAAAAACTATACCAATCGTTGCTACTCTCTACGAGCAATATAGGCACCACATGCCTTTAATTCTGCAGATTCTGTAAGAGCCAATTGATCCCAAAGATCTGTCATAACAGAATAAAACTCCTAAATACTTATATTCTTCTGCTAAAGAGCTCGTATGTCATTCTCCAATTGATACTGCTTTGCAAAATTTGATTGAGTAAATAACCTTTGCAGATGATCCCAAACCTCCTTTGCTATCTCATACTTTGCCAACTAGGTACCTATGGAATGCTCAACAGAATTGTTAATCCAAGTAATAATTTTTGCATTGGTTGCTTCCCAGGCATCTATCAAAGCAGCATAACCCTCATCAATATTCCTAGGTTTCACAGAAGTTCCACTAACATATCCCCACATCTTTTTACCCTTAAGAAAATTTATCATCACATAACTCCAATACGAATAATTCTTTCCATCTAACCTCACACTCAAAGACTGAAGCGAATCGTCTCTTTTAGTAGCCATAATCAAAAAACAAAGAAAACCAGAACGCAAAAGAAAGGAAAACGAAATACCAGACTATAGAAACTGAACGAATACCCACAGCCAACTCACTGCGGAGTTGGACCCGCGTAAGCTGTGTTTAAGATTAAGCCTCGTCCCATGAAACTTGGTTCTGATACCATGTTAAACAATCCAAAGAAATAAGGAAAAAAAAGAGGAGGCTAGGGTTTCATTGATACTGCACAATGCAATCGAATACAAAAGAATAATTTAACCTAAATACAAAGAGACTATATATAGGTTAAACAAAGGAAACTGAAAAGACCATTCTACCCTTAATAAATAATAAAACAAAATAACCCTATATTTCTTAACAAATAGGAGAATAAGGTTTTGAAAGAATCGTTAGATAAGGTCGAGCATGATTTCAAATGCTGTGAAGATGCATTCAAAACTGCTGAACAAAAATTTGGAAAGTTGCAGGAGGAAAATAAGGTTCTGATAAAGCAGAACAAAGAGTTGTCTGATGAGAATTCAAAGATAAAATCTTTGCTTGTTCAGGCTAAAAAAGATAGGGAAGAAGCTTGTGATACTGTTACGGATATGTATGTGGCTACCAAGCAAGCTTGTGCTAATGCATTCAAGGCAAAATATCCAAACGAAGATTCTAAATTTCTTGAAAGAGTTGTCTTGCAGGAAGATTCTTCTTCTTCTAGTGGAGTTTCTGTTATACTCTGTACATAACGCTTAGAATGTTGTCCAACTACTGTTTGTAATATCGAATCAATTTTTGCTACAATTATATTTGTACAATGATAGAATCAACAGTATATCTAACTCTGTATTTTGTCAAATACTTCTTTGAAAACAATGTTTTTTTAATTTGTCTTCTGTTTCTTCTTCTTCTTGGACTAATAATATCTTCACTCCTTGTCTTGAAGTTACTCTCGATAAAGCAACATATAACTATCCATGAGTTAAAACCTGATGTTTCATGTATAAACCTATAGTTTTAAGAGACTGGCCTTGACTTTTGTTGATTGTTATGCAAAAGCCAACAGCAATTGGCAATTGTCTTCTTTTCAATCTAAAAGGCCACCTCATATCTGCATTGGACATTACTATTCTCGGGATCATGACATTATGGTCAATATTTTATCCTGTAATAATCTCTGCTTGTATGCACCAGTTTCCAAGATGGGTCACGATCAGTCTTGTTCCATTACAAAGGCCATCTGCTTGATTTAAATTACACAGTACCATAATTGGAACCCTAATTTTTAATTGTAATTCATGTTTCGGCATACCAGAGCATATCAATGTGTTCGAGAATTCAGTTGGGTATAGGATATCATCATCGGTTGACATTCCCGCTGCTTTGCAAGTTGTATCTGAACTGTAGTATGTCTTCCCTTCTGATGGCAGTTTCTGAATAATTTACTCATGTAATTCATGAACTGTCTCATTCTTTACTGTTAGAATTGTTGTCTCCCTCATGTACTCATCATTTGTTACTTGTTCACACAGCCTTGGGAAAACAATATTGACAATTGTCTCTTGTGGATTACAATCTTCATGCAGATATAAATCATCAGGAATTTCGATAAGGACTTCATCTGCTGATTCATTTGTTTCCTCTCTAATTTCAAGAAACCATATGTCAAAAGAAATTAAATCATCCAAATCTATAGTGCCGTTATTACTGCTCTTCAATCTCATATTTCTATAAGTTTCAATACCATGATATTCTCCCAAAGATAAGAAGAACATAAGCATGCCTACATTATATCAAATTTTTGCCCTTTTGGAATAACAGGCAAAATTTGTTTGAAGTCGCCACCAAGAGCAACAGTCATATCTCCAAATATACTGTCAACATTTAATTGGTTATCCTCGCTTAGAATTGTTGGGAGTCATGCATTTTGGACATGGAAAAGGTGTAGAAATGATGGATGCAAGGTAGAACACAAACATAACACATAAGCCCAAAAAATTTCAAGGTAAGGATGGAATATTACCTACTCCTTTGCTATTCAACACTTGAATCTTCTTTCTTGGAGTCTTAGTTCTTCAAGTGAACTTGAAGAACCTCAAAATGTGATCCACACAAGTCAAGGAAAAGAGAGCCGAGAGAGTGAGAGAGAAAATGAGAGAGTGATTTTGTTTCAATTCCTTCAATTCTATGAAAATGGTATCACACTTGGTTTATATACCATAGGCACAAAGTGTAATTTTAAATTGTCTTGGGAAGTCCTCAAACAATTTAAATTAATCTTGGAAAAGAGCATTTATGTCAAGTCCTTGGTTTTATGGTTAATTCATAATTAGCCCAAATTTTAATCCCATTAAATATTCAAACTCTTTAGAATAAAATCAATTCACTTTTGTCCCCATTATTGAATCCGATTCAATAATAATATTTAATAAATCCTTATTACCCTTGGTTAGTGCTAGCTATCCATGGATAATCATTTCTCGCCAATACATTAATTAGGATGCAACTGTTTACGTCCGAACATCATTAATCTGATTAATGATATGTATTACTCTCTCTCCTCGAGCTTGGTTTTATGTGTGACCATTTTGGTTCATTGTGATCTAGCCGTGGGCCCAAATTTTGATATGTTTCATTGTAACTCATTATAATCGAAACTCCTACTGATTATGGTAGACGTCTAGCCATGTTCTATAACCCCTAAACCACAATGAAGTGTAAACTCCAATGAACCTATTCTGATTGTACGTATCATGTAGTCAAATCCTTCCATTATCTAATCCCGATTAAGAATGATTCATGGTATGTCAAAACCCTTAACTTAATCTTTAATCAAATTGTCAATTGATACAATGGAACTCGTCAACATGAAACTACTTTTCATCTAACATTCATTATACTCTAGCTAGAGATTTCCCTTTTCCAATGTTTATTGAAATTCGTCTGGGAACTCCAGATTGGACTATTTTGAGTTAACGGATCCCATCTTGACCATCACTTATCCTCGCACATGAATAAAATATGACCAAATCAACTTATTACACAAGACATGACTAGTCTCATGCTTATACACCATATGAACCATATGCATCCTATGTTGAATCCAACCGTGATATCTCAGGTCTAAGGATCAGTGGTACACTAGCACGATCCTACGATGCATCATTGACCACATCCGTGTGATTCATTGTAATCGGTCGTATTCGATAAATAGTTCACTAACCGTTTATCTATGTTAATGCCTTAGTGCCATCCCTCTTATAATCACCCACACTATTATCATCACATGATATTCAATGGAGACATTTAGCATGCCTATTATGCAATGTTATTGCCCAATTAACATTACTTGCATACGGAAATCTTTGATGATTTGATCTTCTGAAGATCCGTGTCATCCGGACATTTCACATTCAATATTAAATATAATATAATATAAATGAAGCAGAAAATCAACATGTGAAATAAAAACACTTTCTTTTATTCATAATACATTTACAAGATATAATGTCCTGAAACCAACAACACAATTGGTTCCTAAGGCATACACTAACAAGAATATCCTTCAATGATCTGTCAAGAGCTTCAAAGCAATGCCTATTAGCCATAGGTGCTTCATCCCAAATTATCAAAGAAGTTTTCCGAATATGGTCTGCTAATTGTGTACCTTTTTTATATCACATGTACTCTTGTCAGTGATATCCAAAGGTATTCGAAAACATGAATGTGTTGTTCTTCCTCCAGGTAATAACAATGCAGCAATTCCTGAAGTTGCAACAGCAAGTACAATTTTTCCTTTTGATCATAACTTGCTTATTATTGCTGACCATAAAAAAGTCTTGCCTATTCCACCATGACCATACACGAAGAAAGTTGTCCCCTTTTTATCTTCAACTGAACGAATGATTGAATCATATATTTTCTGTTGCCCTTGATTGAGACCACTATACAACTTATCATGCAACTTTATATTGCTTTCAATATCATAACTCATCTCTTCAGCAATTAATCTATCCTGTGTACTTTCAAACTGAGAACAATTCGGAATTGGAATTCCATGGAAATCAGTGATTTTTTTCCCTCCTTTTCTAATCAAATCTTCAATTTCAATCAGTGCATGATTTTGTAGCTGTTCATCAATCAATTTTACTGCTTGCATTCCCATTTTCCGTTTCAGTATATATGCGATATCTTCAGATAGCTTAATCGCATTTCTTCTCCATAGATCTCTAGGACTAACAACTTCATTGAATAATATGATCATTACGAATAGTTGTCGTAACTGATTTCTGGAAACCCATACTGATGCTTCATCTAAGTAATCATGCCATTCTTTATCATCATCTAGCAAACCTAATGCATAACATGCTTCTTTGAAAGTTAGGTGTATCACTCCATTAACAGTTCTAATATCTACAAAAGGATGTCGATCCTTCAACTAAATTTAGGAGCATTCTTAAATAATACTTCTCACCACTACCGGGAAATGCAAAGTACATCTTGCCAATACATCTTCCATTTTGTCTTTCTGTCCATTTTCTTTCTTTAGCATTCCAGACCCATTTACTTGGAAAATCAACATAAGTCAGTGATCGTGCATGAGGATATTGTTGATTGCATTTCATCCACTATGTCAACTTTGTTTGTGTAACAAATCTGCTTTCCAAATATTTGAACAAACAATTATCTGGATCAAAAATCACAGTTTGTTCATTCTCCAAGTGAAATGGTAATCTTTCAACTGCAGGTTCTCTGTAATACATGTCGAATTTAAATATCCTCCAGCAAGCTTCAATAGCAGATATATATCTGTAATTTTATATATTCATTTTATTAATGTTATATTTATAATATATAACAACAAATAGTACTATGAAATTATAAAGTATCTGATTGAATACATACCTGCAATCAAGATAAGCTGTAATCTCGTCTATCATTCCAGAATTTGTGGATTCAGAATTTGCTTCACCGTTGGTATTACGCTGTACGGAAATTGTAAGTATGTCAGATTCTTTGTTGATGTATTTGAAAAGATACTTGATTGATCTATGTTGATTAAGGATCTCAGTATTAATATGGGCGTCAAACTTAATTAATAAATTCCTATTGTAAGGAACAACATATTGATTATTAAGTTTGACACCTGTTTTCTCAATAAATGCGCCAGTATCCCGTCTCCTGTATAACAGATATCCTTCATCATCTACTGTTGTGGTTGTCAAAAAATTTTTTGGAAAATGTTTTTGACACTTTCCTTTATGCATACAGGGGGAATTTCTATTTGCATCACCGCATGGACCATGGATCATGTAGTTCTCAACAGCAGCAAAAGCAATTGGATCAGTTTCTTTATCAGGTATTTCAGCTCAGATCATATTATCTATTTTTGACACCGAAGGATTCTTGTACTTAGCAGTAAGGTAAATCAATATATGTGCATGTGGAAGTCCTCTTTTCTGAAATTCAACTGTATAGATAACTGCAAAACAATAATATAAAATGATCAATAATAGTTTATATAAAATAAATATATATAATAAATGGTCAATAGACCATTTGTTTTTAGTAGAATATACATGTTATTCATCAAAATACTTACTTGCTTCAGTTTCTCCAAAATATTTCTCCTGTTTAATTACTCTCATCAATTTAAGCAATTTTATCTAGAAAACTCTGCAAATTGCAGTTACTCTGCCTTCTTCATCACATTGCCCAATAGCATCCTGTATATGTTGAATTTCTTTCCATTTTGGATTACATGTGAACGTCAGACAAATATTAGGATATCCATGATTTCTGCAAATTGCCATAGCATCTTGATAATTCTGAACACGATAATGTAGATTTACCTATCTGTTGTGGATTTACATCTCCATTTGAAAGAGCATCCATTAATCCACTATACAAATCGCTTCTTAATTTTTTTCTGATTTTGCCTAATCCAACGAAATCTATTTTCTTCAATAGCCATATATGCATCAACAATATACTATTGTAACAATCTGCTAGATTTCATCAATGTATGACCTTCATTTAATCTATACTGCAATCAAAATGCATAAAATTGCCTCACTGTTAATCTTTTCCTTGCAGAAGATTCTTTGTCCCCAAAATCTCTATGGTGAATATCAATTCGGTATCCATCTTCTCCATATGGGGATAAAATTGGATAACTTAATGCCATAAAACTTGGATGCAAATCACTGATTCTCTGAAGACCATCCTTTGAATGATAAACAATCACATCCTTTCCATGTTCAGACATGCCAATCTTACCAACTATTAGACCTGCAATTTCAGATGCAACTGGCAAATTGTACTGTCTTCCATCTTTTGCTCTATGATTTTTTAATCGTAAATGCATTTCTGGAATATAGTCTGAATGGATGTTGTCTCTAGCAAATCGGAAAACTTTAACCAATTCATTGGTCCTATCTAGCATGAACTGCAATTCTTTCAACAAATCTTTGTCAATGCAGCTGTTATCTACATAATCACCCATAAAATTGTATCTGTGATTGGTCTCAAATTGCGTGTCGTATATGTATAGTTGTGCAAACTTAGGTTTCTTTCCAGTAGGTGGAAGCAATGATCCTATACGATGGTAATTCTGTCCACAGAGTCTAAAAACAAACGCACCACTTCCTTTGTTGATTTCGTGATCAATTTTTCCTCCCATTGATGTAAACGAAAAAATCGTATTGTACATTCTTATCTTGTTTCTAAACTTAGCTCCCTTTGATCCACTTATTACATTCAACAATTCTTTCAATGGTTCAGGTGGTTGTTTTAGTAGTGGTAACTCAACTTTGCCATCCATACAACATAGCGAAAAAACAGGAGACCTTGGATTCCTGCTTTTGATAGTGCGTTCCTCGTACCATAAAATTTCCCCACAGTATTTGCAAGTATAGGATGGTTCACCAAAGTCCCAAGCCCTTACATGCACTGATCACAAAGAAAAACAAATCAGAAATCATTAATATTGTTAAAAAAAAAAAAAAAAAAAAAGATGTTTGATAATACTTAGAATAATCACAGTCATGTTTTTCTGATGGAGTAACATCTACATTAGATTTATTTTTTTTACGCTCACCAATACCTGCAAATATATATTAATTGCATCAATATCACTATAATCGAAGGATTGAAAATGTTTGCAAATATTTGTAAAACTGAAGTTGTCATTTTTTCAACGGAGTAATCTTCTCATTGGATTCTTTTGATACAGCTTGTCTAAGAGCTGCAAATTTTGTATCCAGTAATTAGATAAATATCATCATAATCAAAACATTATACGTATTTGACAATATGATATTTCTTACCTCTCTTTATTTTTAATTTGGACATCCTGAATGCTCTATTCTGTTTGAATTTTTGTTTCTCTAATATGTCATCTGGAATTCAGAATAGTAATAATAACATAATCAATTTGATATACAACAAAGAAGCTTACTTGCCGAACAATGTTTTGTTCAAAGTATGTAATGCAAACAAAACATTGTTCGGCAATGATTTGTAATAATTATCATCACTAAAACAAAATGAAGTTTGAATGTAATATGACCATGAATGAACACAATTGTTCACTGGAAAAATAGTTCAGATTTTGTACAGTCACATATTAAATTTCACATTGTTAAACATGAGATCATTCGAAAGCAAAAATGTGCAAACCTAGTTTCTAATCAGTAACAAATATCACAAGTAAATAACATAAGGTAAAAGCAGTAGAGAAAATGAACACAAGGATTTATAGTGGTTCGGTAATCAATTAGATTACCTACATCCACTCTTCAGGATAATAAGAAAACATTCACTATGAGAATAAAGGAAACCTTACAAAGATTGCAGCTCTCTCCTTTACACAAAGAAAACCCAAGTAAAAACCCTCTGTAATACACTTGAAATCCCAATTGTTCCTCACCTCTCATACATACAAACAACTAGAAGTTAATCAGCATTTTATACACAAACCAAAGGAAAACAGAAAAGCAAACTAAGGCCTACCAACACCGTTTGATTCCATCAACAATTGACAAGGTTCCAGCACATCCAATTTGTAATAACCTTTCTCTCTCTGTAACCAAGAGAGAAAGATCTAGAATGGATGTAATGACTTCTCTCTACTAATATGCTCATAAAATATACTTAATAAAAATACATGTATAATTAATAGAAAGTAGTTGGGCCCAAATTTTTCTTTACTTAATATGTACACTCTTTACATAGTACAAAATAACATGTACAAAAACTATCAAAATGGTGGACAGTGTAGCCATTTCTCTCCGCTTGCCAACTTCCATCCGACCGCATCCTCACATATTTCCTACAAAAACATAGAAAACAACGGCATGAGCACAAAAATGCTCAGTAAGTAAATCATCTACTCCGCTATCCCCATGCATCACCCTTTAATTCTTTCCTTACTCTACTCTTTTTTTTTTTTCTTCTTTTTGTTTCTCTCTTGTTCTTTCTATTTTCTTCTTTGCTTCTATTTCTCACGATTCTTACTAATTCTCTCTCTCTCTATTCTTTCTTTCTTTCTGTTCCTTTCTTCTCTTATTCTTACTAATCATGATAGAAGTCACGATAACAATGCATGAATGAAATGTACATGCAGTAATGCATAGGAATGCATTCTCTTTCTTCTCTTTTGTTTTTCTTATTCTGTTTTCCATTTTTATGCATTTCTTTTCTTTCTATTCTTTTCTTTCTATTCTTTTCTTTCTTTTCTCATGCTTTCTCATTCTTTCTCATTCTTATTCTTTCTTATTCTTATTCTTTCTTAGTCTATGCCGATCGAACTTAGTTGATGCATGGATTTGGAACCCTTGGCCATGTGAGTGTATTCTCTCTCTCGGGTATAGCCCTCATCCTCATGCACTCTCGCGGGCTATACCAATTCTTCTTCTCATTCTCTAGCCGCTCACTGAAGGCGGCGTACATGTGGGTATATTTTGCTTATCACTCGCCGGTTCCCCATCGCACAACCTATTCTTTTCTCTTCTTTAGCACTTTTCTTCTTTTATTCTCTAGTGCATATTCTTTCTTTCTCTTTATTCTTAGAGTGCTTTACTCTCACAATGCATGATTCTTTCTTAAGTTATTACACATATATAAATATGCATATGGATGGCTCATGCTTAGAATTCTTTCTTAAATGCACTCATGAAATGCAAATATGCAATGTTGCGTAAAATTAAGGTTCTATACTCATACTCATGCTTCTCTTAGGTATTTCATCAAACAATAAGCATGCATACATAAACTCTACCTTAACTATAATTCTACTTCTTTCTTAAACGATCCAAAATTTGAGTAAAACTCCCTTGAATCATTACAAATCCTGCCAAGGAAACACACTCCAAATACTCTTCTCAAATTCTTTCTAAATCCATCCAAACTTCCATCAAATTCTATCAACACAACCAACCCGTTTCATGGTGGAAAACCCAACCATGAACCATCATCAAACTCAATAACAACTCTATCTACTCATCTCAAGCATAGAGAATTCATGCAAGATGCATATAAACAATCTCTACACATCATTCCATCACTTAAAACTTAGCTTAGGTTGGATTTACTTACCTTATGTTTGAGTAGTTTCCACTAAAGCTCTCTACTCTTGTTGGGCTCAAGCTTCCTCTTAAACCCTAAGCAAAAACTTAATAAGGATTCAACTCTTACACAAATAAAACTCATATCTAGAGCAAGGATTCTTACCTCTTGTTGCTTAGGATCAACTCTTTATCAATTTCTAACTAAAAGCCCTCAAAATCCTTGGAAGATTGAGTGAAAAGTTGAGAGAAAATGAAGGATGGAAGCGGCGTTGGAAGAAGAGAAATGAGGGGGTTTATAAGACTAAACCCTTAATATCTCATATTATAAGCACTCTTTCCCATTTTACCTTTACACTTTCTTAGAAATTCCAACTTTGCCCTTTAATTCTTTGCAATCACAACCCCAACTCTAATTTATTCTTCATGAAATTTTCTTACATTTCACTCCCCACTTTTCCTGCTAATTAGGGGTAAAATGGTCACTTTGCCCCTATGAAAAATTCTCTAGAAACTTCATGAAGAATTTTAGCCGACTCTTCGCCGCGGCGAAGACTGTTTCTTCGCCCTAGCGAAAAATTACAGAACCTACGTCGTCGCGGTGAAGATTCTTCTTCGCCCCTGCGAAGTCTGTAATTCCAAATTTTCCCCAAGTCTTCACCAAATTCAGGGCAACCACTCAACCAAACCAACATATCACTTCAATTAAAGGCCAATCAAGCAATATTAACACCATACAAGCTTAACTAAGGGCAAACAATCAACATTAAGGGGAAAATGAACAAACATGAGCTACGTACCTCAAGTGGGCGTTACAATGGAGCACACCCACAATCGACCCAAAGAAACCTAATTTAGATTAGGTTACATAACAATCATAGGAAATGCCACAAATTCCCCTTTGCTTTTCACAGAATAACTTTGACCACCCAAGTTCAAAAGCTGACTTCCACGTAAGGCATAAGTCAATGCCATGTCACAACACACATAATAATACATAACTGGAACAAAATATTGCATGTTAACATGACCACATCAATTATTATTAACAAAGAAGCATATTACAATATCACATTTCGCAATGCATAATGTTAAGGAATTTATCATCTTTGATTTGATGTTGGGATCAAATATTCTACAAACCCTTTAGTTTAGACTGAAACCTTTGTTTTTTTGAGCGGCAAAGCGAACAGAAATCAAAGGAACAAATAGTACTGCCAACAATTTAAATTTAAACAAAAAATGTAACCGTAGATTTAATAGGACGTGATATGATTATAAAAAGTTTTAAATCTATCTAAACTGATGCATTAACAAAAGCGTATAAAT